ATTGTGAAGCCCCCTTTCCCTTATCTCCGCCTGTCAGTCTCCCAGTAAGCCCTTGTTGGGGTTACCTACAGATTCTCTATACACCGCTCCCCACAAGCCAGGCCCATACACCTGGGTCACTGCAGCCATCTCCCCGCTGGAATCCCTGCTTCCACTCTTGCCTTCCTACAGTCCATCGTCCAGCAGGAGAGCAGAGACATTTAAAAACATGGCAGGGACTTCCCTGGTGGTGCAGTGGATAAGAACTTGCCAATGCAGGGGACACAGGTTCGATCCCTGGTCTGGAAAGATCCCACATGCTGCGGAGCAACTAAGCCCGTGCACCACAGTTACTGAGCCTGCACTCTAGAGCCCGTGAGCCACAACTACTGAAGCCTGTGTGCCACGACTACTGAAGCTCGCGCGCCCTAGAGTCCGTGCTCTGCAATAAGAGAAGCCACCGCAATGAGAAGCCTGTGCACCGCAACAAAGAGTAGCCCCTGCTGGCCGCATCTAGAGAAAGCCCACGCGCAGCAACAAAGACCCAACACAGCCAAAAATAAATAAATAAATAAAGTTATTTATATATTTTTAAAAAGTAAAAAATAATAACATAAGTCAGATCACTTCCCTCTCTTGCTTAAAACCCATCAGCGCTTCCTGTTGCCTTCAGAGCAAAATCCAGGCTCCACGGTGAGACCCAAGGCCGTGATCCCACTGCTGCCTCTCCAGCTCCATCCCCCGCTGCCCTCACAACTTGCTTCCTTCCTCCTCCTCTAAATCCACATCCCTGGAACACTCCTCACACCTGGGCAACTCCATGGCTCCTTCTCAGCTTGCCAATTTCGGCACAGAAAGACCTACACTGACCACCCACTCTAGATTGGCTCACCCACTCCAATTTCTCTGCATCATCCTGCCCTGTGTACCACCCTCCGAGTCTCCCTCTACTCAGTTGTTACTGTTTTCTCCCCACAAAACTGTGAGCTCCCTGAGGGCAGGCGCTCTGTCTGTCTTGTTTGCTGTTTTGCCCCCAGCCCCTGGCACAGCAGGTGCACAGTATGTACTTATCGAATGAATGAGCAAACAGATGAATGAATACATCAACCAGGAAAATGAAGGAGGAAACCTCCAGGAGAACGTGTGGTGTGAGGAGACACTCCAAGGGAGGGGTCCCCAGGGAGCTCTCTCTCCACACAGGAGCCTGCTTCCTCACCGGGACACAGGTGTAGATCGGAGCCAGGAGTGACAGCCCTGAAATCTCAGGGGCCTCCTGAGGCTTCCTGAGATGGGAGAGGGAACGGCTCTCCATCACTGAGAAACGCCTTGACTGCCGCAGCGAAAGGGCAGAGCTGCTGCCTCCAATGCTGATTTCCACACAGCGGCTGCCTTCCCCCACCCACCAGCGAGCCCACTGAGTTGCCGTAGCAACAGAGGATGGTGCCAGAGTCCAAATAGGGATGTCTGCATCTCCCAGCACGTCTTCTGGGGAGGGCGAGAAGGAGGGGGGCCGGTCCACAGTCGTGCCCTGGCTCTGTCTGCCTCTGGTCTGTCCTGGTGTCTAAGCAAAGCACCTCCTCTGCCCCTCACCCCCACATCCCTTGAACATCGGAGGAAGATCTCGCTTCAGAACCTTCTCCTCTGTGTTCTCTCTCCTGCTGTGGAAGGCAAGGGAAGGGATGGCCTCATCTTTGTATCCTGTTCAGGCCTGTAAATTGGCCAGAAGAACAAAGGACAAGGGCTCTCTGCTGGCTCACGGCTCTCAAGACGGCCTTAAGAATGTTTTCTTTTTGGGGCTTCCCTGGTGGCACAGTGGTTGAAAATCCGCCTGCCAGTGCAGGGGACAGGGGTTTGAGCCCTGGTCCGGGAAGATCCCACATGCTGCGAAACAACTAAGCCCGTGCGCCACAACTACTGAGCCCACAAGCCACAACTACTGAAGCCCACACGCCTAAAGCCCATGCTCTGCAACATGAGAAGGCACCACAACGAAGAGTAACCCCCACTCGCCACAACTAGAGAAAGCCCGCGTGCAGCAACGAAGACCCAACGTAGACAAAAATTAAATAAATAAAAAAAATAAATTAATAAAAAAAGAATGTTTTCTTTCTTTTTTTTTTTTTAAGAATGTTTTCTTTTTAAATACCACTTTGTTAGTCTAACTTGTCACGTCCTGGAGTTTTTGAGGCTCTGTTGGCTGCCTTTTTGGTATCCCTAAAGAAGCAAAACCTGGCTTTTACTCCCCAGAAGCTAAATGCCCTTTGGGGAAGCTGCTGAGAAGCAGTTTGTGTCATTTGTCAAAAGAATGACAATAGTATCTACCACTCACTGAGTGTGTGACATGCATCACTTCTCTCAATCCTCACAACTGCCCTGGAGAAAAGGTATTATAGTCCCTCTTTACATGTAAGGAAACTGAGGCTCCCTCGTTCCTGGGGTCACACAGCTGCTAAGGGGCCAAACTGCGATCCAAACACTGCACTCTCAGATGCTGAAACCCAAGCCATTGGCCACTGCTCTATACTGGGAAGTACCAGCAGCTACTACCAGCAGAACATGACTACAGTGAGCTTCCCCAGCCTCAGCCAGCCCTCTTGGGTCCTCATGTGGCCTCATCCTGGCCACAGTGGCCAGCACTTGTTGGCTCAGGCCCCAAGCGGCATCACCCCCACAGGGATCTAACAGCAGCTCGCTCAGAGTGGGAACAAAGGCAGCTTTTTCAGCCCCTTCTTTAGAAACCTTCACTCCACGGCCGCAGAAGCAGCCCCTCGGATTGGCTGTTACCATGGCAACTGGCTGCTGATCTCTGTCCAATTATGTCAGCCCAGAACTGCAGTGCCTCCGTGTCCATTTCCTGCCCAAGCTTCCCAGCCCGCCAGCCCAGCCCCTCTGACCTCCAGGCAGCTTTGAATGCCTAGGCTTTCTAATTACAGCTGCCTTTCAGTTCCCTAGTCCTGTTGGAAAACCTTTGTAATCTGCATTGAACTTCTCCTCCCAAGAGCCTATTTATCATACCCAGCCTCTGGCTCTTTATCTGGGGTTTATGAAGCACTCATTGTGTTATCCAGCCTTGCCCCCAGCATATGTACTCAACCGACTTGCAGAGAGCTTGGACACACACATTTCAGACATCTGGGACTTAGTGTCTGGCACCAAGATCTTTCCGCTGCAACCGTGACTTTGTATGCGGTCTACAGTGGCCTGATTTCACGTCTGATTTCTTCATTCATTTATTCATTCAATGACTCATGAGCACCTACTATGTTCCAAGCACTAGGGACACCATGTTAAACAAGAGAGAATGGAACTTTACATTTCCCCAGGGGAGAGGGGTGATAAAGTAAACAGGTAAACAAACAAATAAATATAATTTGCGGTATCTGTAAGTGTGGTGCAGATAAAGGAGCTGAGGGGCTCCGATCCTAGGCTGGACATTGTCCTCTGTCCTCATCTAAGTTCCCCACTTGCAGAGGGAGGGGCACACCAGATGAGGGGTGAGTAGATGGTGCTTGATGTCCAGTGGGCACTTTTGGATGCAAGTGGCAAAGACCAAACTTAGGGAGAAGTGTTCTTTAGGCAGTGACGCAGCTGGGGATCTGAGGTCGGAAAGTCATCAGGACTCCATCCCCATCTCCTGTCCCTCTCAGGACATCAGCAACCTTCCTTCCCCTTGCAGTGGCTTTTCCCACAAGACGGGAAGCATGGCTGCTGACAGATCCTATGAGTTTTAATTTTCACAGCCTCAGTCATGGAAGACAGCCTGACCTCAAGCACTCTCCCATTCCCAGACCAAAACACAAAGGGGAGAGACTCATTGACCCAGGTTGGAGGTTCCCAGGCCTGGGCTAACAAGTAAAGGCCAAGGATGGGATCAGAGTACTAATAAGGGTTAGTGCTCTGTGCTCTGGGGGAAGGCAGACCATCCCAGGGTCTAGACCACCCCTACAAAGTGAGACCTATCAAGGTGTGTGTCCCCTGCCACTCCCCCACCCTCACCTCACCCCACCCCTACTCCTGCTTTCATACCTTAATGGTCTAACTTCTGTTTCAGAGAGGCAGCTTTGTGGCCTGTACCCCAGTTCAGTCCCAGTTCTTAAGGTCACCCTCTGCTCTGGGGTCTTCTCTGCCCACCTCACCTGTGTCACCCTCATGTGGAATCCTAACCACTCCATGCATGAGTCCAGGTCACCATCAACACCGGGCAGGTACAGCAGGTTTTATTGAAGGTCTGGAGGTGACAGAGGGCGAACACCCCATAGCTCAGAACAAGACCAACTTGTGGTCCGATTCTCACCATCTTCTATCCTTAGAGCTGAGACCCGAGGGTCTTATCTGGTTTCCCTCCCTCCTGACCTCACACCCCACCCCCAACTCACAGCAGGCGCCTGGAAATTCCTTATTACGTTCTACTGCAAAGGTATTCACCTGTCTGTCTCCACTCAAATCAGGTTCCCGTGCCAACACTGGCATATCCTAAAAACACATTAAGGTGCTTTGCTCAACTAAAGAATCTTCATGCTGAGCCTACAAAGGACAGGAGAAACTTTGGAACTATAGTCACTGGTTTAACTTATCCACTCTCAAATGCTTAGGGCTCCCATTCCCAAGGACCAGAGCCAGGACAGGAGGTAGGGGCAGAGGAGTTCATGCACAGACTCTGATCTGGGCCCAGGATAAAGCGGTGTCTTCCTCGATGCGGAACTCTTGTAAGGCTGACCGGGAAAACTTACACACAGTGTATTCCACCACGCCTACTTTGAGGTTAGATGGGTTCGTGGTTTTGGATCCCTGAGAGTTCCTCCGAGGGGTGGGCTAGCAGGTCACACACTACCCAACACCCAGAAGGTGACACAGAGGAAGAACAAGTGGCTCCCAGACTGCAGAGGTCGGGACACACGATCCCATTCAGGGAAGAGAAATAGTAATATGGCTCTGTTACCAAGCCTATTGCCCCAGAATCATACCTCTGTCCCTCCCCCAAACAGAAACCAACTACTCTTATCTAAGTTTCAGGAGGAAGCTACAAAGAGAAAAAGACAACTGGTTAGAACCAACTAGGCCCAAGACGGTGGAAGATTTGACTTCCAATAGACCTTGAGCCTCGTTATAGTCTCACTTAATACGTTAGCATGCTAAATGACACACCCGCCAGCGCCAGGACAGTCGACAATTGCCATGACAACAACTGGAAAAGCCCATACAAGGACTGAAAAGGAGAGTTGGATTTCTGGGTCCAAACCACACCCCTGTTCTTGGATAACTCACGAATATTCCCCCCATTCTTTCCAATTTCCTCCCTTTTACCTCGACCCTCCTATATATTTGATGTCTCCACCCGAATTGGGTTGAGAAGTTGATTTGTGAACTAGGTTCCTGCTTCTCCATTCTTTGGCTGTTGAATAAAGCTTGTGCTTTTCCCGTCTCAGCATCAGTTTTGTATTGGCTGTGCGAATCTGATCGGAAAAAGAACCTCCCTGGCAGAGACAGGGGTCTTGGTCTGGGCTAGGACCCCAGCACGAGTGCAGTCAACCGATTCAGTAACAGATCCTCTCTCCCATGCTCAGTTACATTACCTTGCAGCTGAAAAAGTTCAAGTGCCTGCATTTCCAGTGCCTGCTCTTTTCACTCAATGCCATGGGGCTCAGCAAATGCTAGACTCCTAACGGGGTGTCTCCTCCACAGCTCCCTATTGGATCTGTGAAGATTCAAAGATGACAGTCATCTGGGAAGCTGTGCCCTGACATGTTTCCAGCTGCCTGACGCTATCTCTGTGAACAATCAGAGCCCTCCCTGAGACCTCAGAAAAACCTGTGCAGAGGTAGACTGCCCACAAAGGGCATTCATGCCTTCTAGTGCCTTAACGTAGAGGCTATTTTTAATCTTCTGGAAGGATGAGGGACAGGGATGGGGAAACCAGCTGCCCGTTCTACGTCTGTCCTCTTCTCCCCCAGAGAGTTCATATGAGGAGAGTTACCAAGATCTTGGTGCTCCTTCTTTAGAAGGCTGGTTCCTTCTCATTAACCCAGATTTCCTGGAGCCTGGTCCTATTATGGACTCCTCCTGACTTCATGGTCTGAGCAAACTGCAGGTGGTTTCTGCAAATGCATTTGACTTTGAATCTAGGGGCTACGCTACATGGCCTTGAGATCACTTTCCCTCCTCACAGGAGGGAAGAGCACATTAGTGACATGGCCAGGAACCAGGTAACTTGGGTGAGCTGGTCCTGGCTCTGAGGAAGTCTGACTACTGCAAGCAGGTCACTTGCATCCTGGCACCTTGGTTTGCTCATGTCAAACGCATGGCTTGATAGTTTTCTGAACCACAGTCACTCATCTCCACCTTCATATCTTTTGTCACACTTGTGTATTACCTATCTTATTATATACTTAATCTTTTTCTGAAAATTCATTAATCTTTATAACTTGGCTCCATGCTAAGCAATACATCCATGAAATCACATATTTACGGTGCTAGTTTTATTTTTTCGACTATGTGCTGAAACAAATATTTATTTTTAATCACACTCATCTGTATAATCCCTGAAACCATCCTGACTACCATACACGTGGACCACCCTTTGGAAACGCTGGATTAGAGCACCACTTCAGCTCCCAATGTCTTCACCCCTACTGTGAAATTCTAATAATCCCAAAAAGGAGAAGCAATTTCAGAAAAAAAATATATTATTCCCCAGCCAACAGCCAGCATGACCCTTCAAACAAAATTGCTGTGTTTTGACAGGTTTTCCTCTCCCATCACAGTTTACAGAACCCAACACTGACTCCAATTTCCTGAGCCTTTGAGGAGTCTACTGGGCCCTGGCCACTGCACTTCTCTTAGAGTTCCATGTGGTCACTGAAGGCCTCAGTCCCAAACTGCCCCAGGCCTGGCTCTGTGTCAGGTGGTGGGGTTGCTGTGGCCCAGAGGGAAATGGCCTTCCTTTCCCACCCCAAGTGACTGCAGGGTTGGCCTTTCATCCTAAGCAAGCGATCCCAAGGTTAGAGCAAGTCTTTGTTGGGTTGGCAGCCTCATCTGATGCCCTTCACACCCTCCGTGTTTCCTCAAACTCTTTGGACGACACATCGAGAAATTCATGGGGATCCTTGGCTTGGAACTCCCTTCTCTGGTAAGAAATTGGCAAGCGGGGGAAAGAAGAGCTGGGTAGCCAAGAGAGGGGCAACACAAGATGTTTCCCTGGTGAAAGAAGTCGTTCCTGACACCTGCACAGCGACACAAAAGCTGAACAAATCATCAGCCGAATCATCACGGTTGATCTTTCTCTTCCTTAGGGGTCCCCAAATCTGGCTGATCATCAGAATCATTTGAAGCGCTTTTAAAAATAAAGTAAAAATAAAGTTAAATGCCCTTACGCAGCAATTATACCCCTAGGTATTTACCTATGATAAATGAAAACATATTTATAGCAGCTTTATACATAATAGCCAAAAACAATCCTAAAAGTCCTCTCAGTAGGTGAAGAGAGAAACAAATTGAGGTACAAACATATGGTGGATACTACTCAGCAATAAAAAGGAATGAACTGTTGATGTGATCCATGCAACAACATGGATGGATCTGGAAAACACAATGAGAAGCAAAAGAAACCAGATCCAAATAAGTGAATCCTGTATGATTCTGCTGATATTCAAGAATGGGCAAAACTCACCTATGGTGGCAGAAATCAGGACATTGGTGGTCTATGCAGGGTGGGAGTTGATTTAACTTTCTGGGGCCATGGAAATGTTCTATATACATTTGTCAAAACTCATCCAATTATACTCTGAAGATCCGTGTAATTCGCTGTAGATAAATTTTACCTGAATTTCAAAACAAAACTAAAAAATATATCCTCTGACCCCATCCCATTCCTACTGAATCAGAATCTCCAGAGGCAGAATCTGGAAATTTATATTTTAAAAAACTCCCCAGGTGATTCTGCTACACAGCCAGATGTGGGAACCTGCGGCTCTAGAAGCTTTGGTTGACTCTCTCATTGTTTACCAGATTTGAGGAAGTTGTAGGGCTGTTACTAGAAAGAAAGACTAGCTATGATAATAGCTATTGCTCACGGAGCACTTATTATGTTCTCAAATTCTTCCAATAACCCAGCAAAGCAGGTGTCATTTTACAGGTTAAAAAAAACTGAGAGCAAGAAACTTGCTCAAATCACACAGCTGATAAGTAGCAAAACCACTTAGCCCAAAGTCTTCCTTACCACAAGTACCTCATTCTTCCCATCATTCATTCATTCATTCATTCATTCAAACAATCAAAAACAAATAAGTATTGTGTACCTTCCCAGAGCCAGCCCACCTGCTGGGCATGATGTTGTACCAACCTCCCTGAGAAGTCTCTAAGGAGGAGTAATGCGTGAGCGAGATGGAGTCTGTAAGGCAGCATTTCCCTTTGCTTTGAAGAACTTGAGGAGGAAAAGGGATCCCAGGCCTCTTTTGATTTTAATTATTCAGGTGGTTTGGGGAAAGGCAGGAGGTTTATGGTTATATAAGCATTGCTAAAGGAAGCCTCTCTGTTGCTTACTTTGGGAACTTTCCAGAAGCTAACACCAATAGCAGGTCACGATAAAAATGGGTTCAAACCATTATCGGATTATGAATAATTCACAAGGTACCCCCTGTTACCCATTACATTTTGTTCTACATAATTGCCTTCTGGAAATCTGCTCCCAGTGAAGGGAATTGGGAGTATGCATGAAATTGAATATTTCTGCCTTTGACAAATAAATTTAAACAAAATTGTGAATTAGTTTCAGTCCACTGCCGCCTATCCCCTTTGAGTTGATAAGACTGGTCTTGTACCCCAGCAAAATAACTGAGCAAGGAGAAAAGGGTCTAGCTTCTTTGAAGGGGAAGTCAGCCCCAGCTCCTATTCATGGCAGGCAGTGTCCCAAGGGTCCTAAATATTGTGGAGGATTCAGGGTGGGATGGGGAGCTCTAGGTCTGGGGAGAATCAGAGCCAAACCACAAAATGAACTCTGGATGGTATGATGCAAAGATGGGAATGACCAGAATAATAAGAGTAATCTTTTCTAAAAAATTGAGATGTAATTCATCCTTTTAAAGTATACAAGTCACTGTACACCAGCCTCTGGCAACCATTAATCTACTTTCTATCTCTATAGATTTGCCTGTTCCAGACATTTCATATAGATGGAATCACATAACATGTGGCCTTTAGTGACAAGTTCCTTTAACTTAGCGTAATATTTCCAAAGTTCATCCATGTTGTAGCATGTATCAGTACTTCATTCCTTTTTATTGCTGAATAATATTCCATTGTACAGATATGCTATATTTTGCTTACCCACTCATCACTTAATGGAAATTGGTTTGTTTCTCCTTTTTGGCTATTATGAATAATGCTACTATGAACATTCACGTACAGGATTTCGTGCGAACGTATGTTTTCAATTCTCTTCGGTACATACGTAGGAGTAGAATTGCTGGGTCATAAGGTAACATATATTCAATCTTTTGAGGAAGTGTCAAACTGTTTTCCACTGTGGCTGCACCATTTTACGTTATTACCCCCAGCAGCGTACAAGGGTTCTGCCCTTTTCTAGCACTACCTTTCTCTAGCAATACCCTTACTTTATCTTCCTGGTCAAAATGTTATCTATTCTATGTACCAGTCACAGCTTATCTGAAAACATAATCTACATTACTGGCTTCATGTGTCATCCCTCTGGACAACACATTCACAGTATAAGAAAAGCTTCCCGGAGATACAATAATACATTATTCAGGACACGTCCAAATTCAAAACATCTGAAGCAGAAAGAGGATTTATTTGCTTATGTAGCTGGGAAGATAGCAGAGCAGCTTACAGACTCTAAGGGGGAGTTACAGGAACCAAAGCTTCAGCTTCACGGTGAATCAGTAAATCTCTCTCTCTTTCTCTCTCTCTCTCTCTCTCTCTCTGTTTCATCACCCCCACCTTTCTGAACCTCCCTTTTGTTTCTTTGGTTCCCTCTTTCCATGATACTCTCTCCATATCTCATCTCTGTAGCCTCATCTTGGCCTCATTCCACATCAGGTTCTTTCCATGTAGAAGAATGATGGCTGCCAGCAGTTCAGACTTACATCCTCCCAGCTTAGTAGCCCCCAGGGATAGTTTTAGATCTGGGGACAGGGACCCTCTCTCTCCCAGAATCGTGTGTCATGCCCATCTGGATCAATCATGTGTCTAGGAAAATGAAAGCTAATGTTCGGTCTACACTAGCTACCCCACCTACATCTGTGGCCAGATCAGAAGAAGGGGCATAGGTGGACTAGGGTAGATGGTGAGAGGGACATGCTGAGCAGCCAGAAATAATCACTGCCAAAGACCTTAATCCAAAGGGGAGGAGCTAGTGTTAGAAATTTCTGACATCATGGACATTCCAAAATCATAGGCAAATAGAAAGCCATTTGGGGCAGGACAACAACCCCAGAGCTTATTCTGTCTGTGTCTGGAGCCAGCCCTGGTCTGGACAGTCTCCTGGGGTAACAGAGGACACTGAGTCCCTGGAAAGCCAACAGGCACTTTTCAAATTATAGGGCAACACATATCACCGCAGCACACGTGGGGACTGGAGCAGACCCACCACCTAACTTGATTACTGCCTCCTTAGCTATTTAATTCTGTTGCAGTTTTACTTTGTCCATATGAGTGGAACGGAATCTTTCTTAGAAAATGGAGGAACAACTTCAGTAAATGAAAGCATTTTCTACTTTACTCTCGGTGGGTTCCAAAATCTGAAAAGGACTCTCAAGGGACTTCCAAAATTTCTCAAATAAGGTTAAATGGCTATTAGGACCCACACATTCAAGAGACAAAATGAGCTGAATCCTTAGATATTAGAATTGGAAGACCCTGTGGGGACCACCTAGTCCCCCCACTCGTTTTACACATGGAGCAATTGAGCCCCAGGGATGGAAGAGGCCTGTCTGGTAGCACAGATAAGAAGTGGCAGAGCTACTACATCCAGATTTCCCAGTCCATCATGCCCATTCTTCTTGACCAGGCCTCTTCTTGTCTGTACTCTCCCTTATGAGCACAAACTTAAATTAAAAAAAAAAAAAAGTAAATATGGCTCCAGATACATAGTAAGAGGTGCTGAATGGTTGCAAAGACTTTCCAGTTTAGTTCACTCTTTGGGCATTGCAGGAACCCAGCCTATGCCTGGGGGAGGATTTCTTGCTGAAATCAGCACTGCGGGTACCATAATCCAGCTGTGAGTCACAAACGGCACAGGAAGCATTTTAATGAGATTTTTCTGAGTGAGAGAGGAGAGTCTTTATATGTGAGGAAGGGAAAGAGGTGCAGACAGTTTTGAAACTGCAATAAACAGCTGAAATCAACAGACTCCACCTGAGTACTTACCATGTATAATGCCCCGTGGGCAGAACAAAGACATTTCAGACACAATTCTCTCCTTGCACATTTACAGTCCAGTCTCCCAGGAGAGAAGGCATGCTTCTGGGACGTGTTTTGGAGTGTGTGTGTGTGTGTGTGTGTGTGTGTGTGTGTGTGTGTGTGTGCATGCTCTCATGCACATGAATTTGTAAGAGCTCTTAGTTCCTGTCTGTCTCAGAAGTTGCAAATATTTCTCTCCTGCTTTCATTTGTCTTTTAACTTGTTTTTCTTTTCTGAAGTATTTCATTTTCATACACGATCATATCCATCAATCATTTCTTTTGTGTTGCCTACGCTTTTGCGTCATGACTCAGTATCCTGCTCTACTTCAGTTTTCTTCTAATTTTTTTTAAATAAATTTATTTATTTATTTTTAATTTTGGCTGTGTTGGGTCTTTGTGGCTGCACGCAGGCTTCCTCTAGTTGCGGTGGGGGGGGGGGGCTACTCTTCTTCTCCCTTCACAGAGCAAATATCCCACATAAATGGATGGAGACCGATGGGGGGTGACTGGGGAAGTGGATTATCAGCATGAACAATGCTCTGCTAGCCCCATCCCTTTTTCTAGACCTAACCTGAGAGCATGTCTGGTCTCTGTAACTCACCTAGTTAGCACTTGCCTTCTCACAGATATAGCTTTCCCATCCTTGTTCCAAATATCTCCTCCTTGGGAACCCAACAGCTCTCCCTCTGCCCCAGAGGAACGAGACCTGCCTGTGCTTTTTTTTTTTTTTTTTTTTAATGAGGCTACTGGATGTTTTCTGAGGGGTGAGGTCTCCTGATTTAAATATTTCTCTCAGGGCTTTTTTTTTTTTTTTTTAATATTTATTTATTTATTTATTATTTACTTGGTTGTGCCGGGTCTTAGCTGCCACAGTCAGGCTCCTTAGTTGCGGCTCACTGGCTCCTTAGTTGCA